CTCCCGTCCCGAGTTCCTGATTGCTATAAAACAAGCCATTCTGGATTTGTAGAAAGGAGTCCAGTGGTATTAGCTAACAATTTGATGAAATGCCTTTATATCTTTTTTTTTTTTTTTTTTTTTTGACAGAGAGAGAGTGAGCAAGAGCAGGAACACAAGCAGGGGGAGTGGGAGAGGGAGAAGCAGGCTTCCTGCCAAGCAGGGGGCCCAATGCGGGGCTCGATCCCAGGACCCTGGGATCGTGACCTGAGCCGAAGGCAGACGCTTAATGACTGAGCCACCCAGGAGCCCCAGTACAAAGTTAGTTTTCGTGTGTATATATATGTCCAGTTGTCCCAGCACCATTTGTTTAAAAGCTTATCTCTCCACAGCATTGCCCTTGCACTTTTGTCAAAAATCAGTTGGCCATACATAATGTCAGTTTATTTCTGAAATACATATTCTGTTCTATTGATCTCTTTCTCTATTTTTACACTAGTATCACATTGTTTTGTTTACTGAAGCTTTTTAAATAAATATTGAAATCAGGTAATGTTAGCCTTCCAACTTTGTTCTTCTTTTTCAAAATCACTTTGACTATTCTAGGCATATTTAGACCATTTATATTTATTGTGGTTGTTAATATAAGTTTGAGAAGACCATTTTGCTATTAGTTTTCTGTTTGACTTATCTAACCTTTATTTCCCCTTTTCTCTGTTCCTACCTTCTTTTGAAGTAATCAAATTATTTTTTATGGTTCTTTTATTTCCTTTGTTGGTTTATTAAGTATGCCTACTTTAGGGTTTATATTATACATCTTTAACTAATCAAGTCTACCTTGAAGTGGTAGTATGTGACTTCATGTTTAAACAAGAACCTTACAACCGTATGCTTCCAAACCATATCCTTCCATTTCTCCCCTCCCAGCCTTCATGCTATTTTTCTTTTTTAGAAGATTTTATTTATTTATTTGAGAGACACAGAGAGCACACGAGTGGTGGGGGGAGGGGCAGAGGGAGAGGGAGAAGCAGACTCCCCACTGAGCAGGGAGCCTGAGGTGGGGCTCACTCCCGGGACCCCGGGATCATGACGTGAGCCAAAAGCAGATACTCAACTGACTGAACCACCCAGGTGCCCTCCTTCATGCTATTTTTGTCATGAATTTTAATTTGACTTACAAACATATTGTTACTATTATTTCTGTTTGGTCATATGTGTTTTAAAGATATGTACGTTATTCTAAAAAAGTGTAGTAACCATTTCTGGCACAGATTTCTTTGTGTAGATTCAGATTTTCATTCAGTATCATTTTCCTTCTGGCAGAAGGACTAATATTCCCTGTGGTGCTGATCTGCTGGTGATGAATTCGTTCACTTTTTTATGTCTGAAAAAGTCTTCATTTGTTAAAGAGATATTTTAGCTAAGTATGGAATTCTAGGTTGATGGATTATTCCCCCAGTATTTAAAAAAGGTTATTCCACTATCTTCTTCTTTGTATTGTTTCTGATGAGAAATCTGCTGTAAATTTCATCTTTGCTCTTCGATGTGTAAACATGTTCTCTGACTGCTTGAAACACTTTCTCTCCATCATTGGTTTTGGGCAATTTGATTAAAATGGGCCTTGATGTAGTTTCTGTTTCTTATGTTTGGGGTTCATTGAGCTTCTTGGTCTTTGGGTTAATTGTTCAAGTTTGGGAAATTTTTATCTATTATTTCTTTAAATATTTCTTTCTGTTCCTTTCCCATTCTCTTTTGTGAGCTCCATGAACCTATGGTATTAGGCTGATTGAAGTTGTCCACCTTTGATGGAACATGACCTGCAGGCCATAACAGAATTCTTTGATTCCACTTCCTTTAGGAGCCTGAGAACAGCCTGTGTAGCCAGTATGAGGAGAAGGTGCGCCCCTGCATTGACCTCATCGACTCCCTGCGGGCACTGGGTGTGGAGCAGGACCTGGCCCTGCCCGCCATCGCCGTCATCGGGGACCAGAGCTCGGGCAAGAGCTCCGTGCTGGAGGCTCTATCGGGGGTCGCCCTCCCCAGAGGCAGCGGTAAAAACTTGTCCTCTGTATGAGTCAGCTCAGGCAGCCATAACAAAATGCCACAGGCTGGGAGGCTAAAACAACAGAAATTTATTTCTCACAGTTCTGGAAGCTGGAAGTCCAACACCTAGGTGTTGGCAGGGTTGGTTTCTCCGCAGGCCTTTCTCCTCGTGCAGGTGATCATCTCATTGTTTCCTCCTACGATCTTTACTCTGTTTGCACACGTCTGGGGTCTCTTCCCTTTTTTGTATGGATGCCAGTCGTATTGGTTAGGGTTCCACCTCTTATGACCTCATTTAACCTTAATTACCCTTTTAAAGAAAGGCCCCATCTCCAAATACAGTCATATTGGGGTTAGGGTCTCAACATATGAATGTGGGGGGACACGATTCAGTCCATAGCTGATGTTGCACATTTTTATGTGTATTGTATGTAACCTGCACTTTGTGGCAGGTCTAAATAAATGTATTTGGGCCCCCAGAACCATGTGCATGTGGGCGTCTCTCCTGAGCCCCTTCTCAAGAAGTGACCCTCTGAATGGGAGGTAAAGATTGGTTCTCTGGTTGGTGGTGCTGTTTGAGCACCAAGGCCGAGGGATCAATGAGGGTTCAAGGGAAGGGGGCAGGCCTGAGATGGGCCTTGAAATATAAGTCAGATGTAGAGGAGGGTGGGATCTGGAAGTTTACAGCAGGGGGATTGTGGTGAGGGGCCTCGCGAGAGCAATATGCATTCCTGATGGTAGTGGATGATGTATCCTGGGGAATAATGGAGCACATTTCCCTGAGTTTGGCGGTTTCCCACTGTAGCATGCCACCGGAGCAGATGGCAAAACTCTGAGATGAAGCAAGAAGCCTAGAGTGGTGGCTTTCAAGCATTAGTGAGCAAAAAATTACCTGGGCTGCCTACTCAAGATGCATATTTCTAAGGCCACCCTGGACATAACACATCCAAGTATTAGAGAACAAGACCAAAAAGTTTTAGTGGTCTGCCCAGATGATTGTGGAAAAGTCAAAGGCCACCCTCTAGGACCCCTAAGAGCAGAGTATAGGACTGATGTGGACATGGTCTGCAGGGATTGTTACAAGATGTCCTCTGGTACTGAAACTGAAGAAGCTCCTGAACGAGGATGAGTGGAGGGGCAAAGTCAGTTACCAGGACTTCGAGATGGAGATTTCAGACCCTTCGGAGGTGGAAGTGGAAATCAGTAAAGGTGAGGGCCTCATGTTCACTCATCATCGCCTCTTTGGACATCTGGTCACCTGTGTGAAGTGGGAGGGCGTCCATCTCTCACTTTCCTACCCTTCCCTGTCTGGGCCCTTCCTGCTCCCCTGGGAACCCCCTCTCCCGCCCACGTCTGCATCAGGCCCCAGCTCCCTTGTAGCTTCTCTTCTTTGACCCCTGTGAAGACCAGCACTTTGGACAAGAATCTGACTTCAGCCATTTATTGCTTAGTTTGTAAGTAAGTATCTGAGAGTAATGTGAAAAACTTTAAACAAGGAGTATCTGTCCCTTGCTCAAGGGCTTTCCCACTCCACAGATCTGACGGAGGAGGGATCAGGGTGTGGGGCCGGGGAACCCCTTTCCCCGTTCACCTGGTAAAAAGGCACTCTGGACCATCCTTGAACCCTCTTTAGAAACTTTTCCTGGGCCTTTTCCTCCAAGAGTGAAATGCACATGTGTGCATAATCCTAGCTTAGGCTGACGGGTGGTAGGTCTCAGTGAATGCAAACCACACAGATCACTCTGCCGACTTGAAGCATCTGCAAGGAGAAGTAACATATGGTTCAGTCAGGAACCATAGTGACCCTATTGGCTGCTGCTAAGAATGAGTGAGGCGAATAAATAAGCTTCTCCATGTTGACTTGACTTTCTTCCTAGTTTGTCACGATGAAGGTTCAGTCATTTGAGGAGGGTACAAAAGTAGCATAACCTCATATTCAGCAGCAGAAAAAAATGAGTTTGGCTTTTATGAAGGTGGAGGCCCTAAGTCGCACTTAGAGACTGTTTTACCAAAGTTGAAGGATGTTGGATAGTCAAAATGTTATTGTGTGATTGCTGGGGTCAGGTTGGCTCCTGGGGCAGAAAACTCAAAACCACCGTGTGTACCAGTTGGCCCTTTCTGCATAACAGACTGATCTCAAAACCTAATGGCTTGGAACTGTTTGTTTCTCGTGATTCCGTGGATCAGCTGGGCAGTTCTTCCCCCCAGCTGGCTTGGCTGGGGCCAGCAGTCTAGGACGGCCTGGGTCACCTACCCAAGCCCAGGGCTGGAATGACCATGTGGTGGCTGTCCTCCTCCGGGACGCCAGGCTGGGCTCTTTAGATTGGGGGGGTGGTTCTCAGCAGCAAAGGAGGAGGGGCCCCCATGCAGTCTCTACTGGGATCCATTCTGTGATGTCCTGTCAGCCATAAGGGGTCACAGGGCGAGCCCAATGTTGAGGGATGGACTCTGGATGGGAGGAGGTCGCCCTGTAGAGGAGTGTGAGTACAGTGATGGAAGGGACTCTGGAGGCCATTTGGGGAAGCGGGCCGCTAACACGGTGGTTTAAGCGATCTGCCCATTTTATTTGTCTCTCACGTAGACGTCTGGAGGGAGGCAGCCCAGAGCTGGTTTGGGGGTTCCAGCATCAAGAACCAGACTCCCATGTTGTTTCTCTGTTGTGTGTGGCGGTCACTCCCAAGGCTGCCTGATCTAGTCAGAAAGCCCCCATTCCAGCTGGAGGGACACCAGCACAGGGCTTCTCCTCCCTTTCCAGCAGAGTTTCTGGAGGTTTTCTGTGCCTTTGTCACACTTACCCCATGGACCAGACGTAATCTCACAACCGCGTGTCCGGTAAATGGATGTTGGGGGCATAGGTAGCAGACGATGACACACAGGCCATTGCTGTTGTCACTCCCGTCCCGAGTTCCTGATTGCTATAAAACAAGCCATTCTGGATTTGTAGAAAGGAGTCCAGTGGTATTAGCTAACAATTTGATGAAATGCCTTTATATCTTTTTTTTTTTTTTTTTTTTGACAGAGAGAGAGTGAGCAAGAGCAGGAACACAAGCAGGGGGAGTGGGAGAGGGAGAAGCAGGCTTCCTGCCGAGCGGAGAGCCCGATGTGGGACTCGATCCCAGGACCTGGGATCACGACCTGAGCCGAAGGCAGACGCTTAACGACTGAGCCACCCAGGCACCCCATTTATATCTTTTTTAAAAAAGATTTTATTTCTCTGAGAGAGAGAGTGAGCGAGCACGAGCAGGGGGAGGAGCAGAGGGAGAAGCAGACTCTCCGCTGAGAGATCCCGGGAATCCGGGATCATGACCTGAGCTGAAGGCAGACGCTTAACTGATTGAGCCACCCAGGTGCCCCCGAAATACATTTATATCTTGAAATTTTCATCATTAAGGAGAAAGGAGCAAAATGAAATTCCATATTGGAATACCAATGCTCATCAATTTTTCCACAAGAAAAATTGCCCTCCATAAGTTCCCAGATCATGTTTCAAGAGTTCCCATGTGTTTTTATTTGCTTTCATTTTACTTTGTTGTTAATTTCCTAATGGCATCAATGGGAAGATTTAGGTGTGACAGTGGGAAGAACTCAGGTCTACCCAGCTCTGGGCTGGTACAGGTGGGGGTGATCTTGAGAGATGTCTTCACTAGATGTTTTTTCTCTGGAGACAGTTCTGGCCACTGGCAAGGAAAATACTGAGTTATCCTTTGAGATTCCTTTTAGCTCCAGAAGGGAATCTGCTCCAGATATGCCTTATCCGTGACTCACACAGGGAGGATTTGCTGTTAGGGAGATGCTTCCACTCTAAGCTCTACTGAGTTTTTCTTGTTTCCCCCCTCCCTAGCCCAGAATGCCATTGCCGGGGAAGGACAGGGGATCAGTCATGAGCTAATCAGCCTGGAGGTCAGCTCCCCTCATGTCCCGGATCTGACCCTGATAGACCTCCCTGGCATCACCAGGGTGGCTGTGGGCAATCAGCCGGCCGACATCGGATGCCAGGTAAAGCCTTGGTTCCGGGGCGAGGAGGGAGCGGAGCAGTGCCCCAGACAGCAGCGGGCTCAGGGCTGGGTTGGGACGGTGGACATCGGGAGGTGTGAGGGGCATTGGGAGAGCGTGGTGGTCTCTGTGGCCTCCATCTGACTTGGTGGAGTCAGATGGAGGCGTTCTGGGGAGTGTAAGGCAAACAGGCAAAACCGGAAATCCGTTTTACACGTGTGTTGGATTTACACGGTGACCCATTTATGGTTATTAGTTACATTTTGTGGTGTATCTAAGCCGGTGTGTATTAGGAAGGGGTTTTATGTGGGGAGAGAAAACATTAGAAACAAGTATAATGAGGGCGCCTGGGTGGCTCAGTTGGTTAAGCGACTGCCTTCGGCTCAGGTCATGATCCTGGAGTCCCGGGATCGAGTCCCGCATCGGGCTCCCTGCTCAGCAGGGAGTCTGCTTCTCCCCCTGACCCTCTTCCCTCTCGTGCTCTCTATCTCTCATTCTCTCTCTCTCTCTCAAATAAATAAATAAAATCTTTAAAAAAAAGGAAAAGAAAAGGAAAAAAAAAGAAACAAGTATAATGACATTTTCATACTAGTGAATGTCACCCAAGGGATTAAAGATTTAGGGCACAGTCAAGCACTTCTTGGCATCTTGTTTTTCCCTGTGGTTATCAGCTGTGGAGTCTTAGGAGACAGTTCCTGAGCTAAGATCTGGTGGTTTCCCCACCCCCGCCCCCAGGGCTCTGTTTCTGCCACGGAAAACTCGGTTTCTCGTAACTTCTGGCTTGGACAATGCCACCAGGCTTATGCTGCAGGCTCATTTCTTTGGGGGAGATATCCTGGGACTCTGAGGTCCCGAAGCAAGTGCAAGGTCAGGACCTGTCCCGGCTCTCATACGCTCTCATCTTCTCACAGACCAAGAAACTCATCAAGAAGTACATCCTTAAGCAGGAGACGATCAACTTGGTGGTGGTCCCCTGCAACGTGGACATCGCCACCACAGAGGCGCTGAGCATGGCTCAGGAGGTGGACCCCGATGGCGACAGGACCATAGGTAAGAAGAGAGAAGAACCTAACAACCGTAGGTGGTAACCTTCACTTTGCAGTGGGCTCAGCAAATGAGGCTGCCAGTCCTGGCCAGACCTGTGCTTCTCCAAGTGTGGGCCACACGCCCCGCCCCTGCCACCTGCACCAGAAAGAACTGGAGCATGTTTAGCAATGCAAGGCCCTCGAATGGAGGATGTTCAGTAATGCAAGGCCCTCGACCCCACCAAACCTCCTGAGGCAGAATCTCCAGCGCAGGGCCCGAGACCCTGCATGCTAAGATTTGCCCCGGGAAGGGGTTTCTGCTGCACAGGGAAGTTTGAGAACCAGTGCAGTAGAGAATGAACCCTTCCACTGAGCAGAAAGAAAATTAAAAGGCCATTACATGCCACTGTGTCTCTGGCATGGGGACCAAGACCTGAGTGAAACCAGTCCCCCAAGCTGCTCACAGGGGCTCGTGGTCTTTGTGCAGCCCGAGCTGTGGTTCTGTCCCCAGCCGGGGGCTCTGCCCGCACGGTAGTTCTGTGGGGGCTACTGTGTGCCATCCGGCAGGCTGAGAGGGAGTGGTGAGCGGTCTCTAATCGGAAGGCTCCATCTTGCAGGAATCTTGACAAAGCCTGACCTGGTGGACAGAGGTACTGAAAGCAAGGTGGTGGATGTGGCACAGAACCTTGTCTGTCACCTGAAGAAGGGCTACATGATTGTCAAGTGTCGGGGCCAGCAGGATATCCAGGACCAGGTGACCCTGACCGAGGCTCTGCAAAAAGAGAGAGACTTCTTTGAGGACCACCCACATTTCAGGTACCCTGGCCGCATTTTCGCAAGGGTGAACCACAACCTGGGGCCTCGGTTTTTCCTGGGGAAAAGGGTTGCTGTCCAAAAGCAGACATTTGGAGTCTATGTGTGAGTGTGTTTGCACCTTGACAATGACTGCAGAATTTGCCTGGAAAAATAAAAGAGGAATTGACAAAATATAGTAAAAAATACCTTTAAAAGATCAGATAAGGAGGGAATTTGCTACAGTCATTTATACGGTATGGTGCTGCAACCAGAATAAACACATAAATACCTCAGAATAGGGAAAAAAAAATCAGAAAGCTCAGAAATTGACCCAGGTACACATATTTGATGTATGATAAATGAGGCCTTTCAAATCATGGACCACATCAGTTTGATTATTAATCAGTGGTATTGGGGGAAACTATAAATTTTATGTACATGTGGTAAACACAATTTAAAAAATTGACAGATGTGGAGACCAACACTTAGCTGTGAGTGTACTCTCACAAATAGGGCTTGAAAACTCATGGTTCCCTGCTGCCTTTTATCCTAAAAAGTCCTTTAAAATATAAGGAATCCTGTAATAACTCAGCAAACACAAATTTGGATAAAGTGAGAATGAGCGTTCCTTCCTCCAAGCAGCTCATGGTTTAAGTTCTCATCTTGGGGAAGGATGTGTCCCCTACATCAGTGTCCTCCACACTCTTACATAGATACTCATCAGTGTATTTTTTTTTAAAGATTTTATTTATTTATCTGACAGAGAGAGACATAGCAAGAGAGGGAACACAAGCAGGGGGAGCGGGAGAGGGAGAAGCAGGCTTCCCGCCGAGCAGGGAGCCCGATGTGGGGCTCAATCCCAGGACCCTGGGATCATGACCTGAGCCGAAGGCAGACGCTTAACCAACTGAGCCACCCAGGCACCCCTCATCAGTGTATTTTTGTGAAGCCCTATACCGCCATGTATCGTGTAGACTTGCATGTGTATTATGCACAGAAGGGTGTGTGTGTTATGAAAACACATTTGTAGGTGACCACGTGTATTTTTATAAAGACCGGTTTTATAGTCCGATGTCATGAGACACAATGTGTCAGCTGGAAGCGATCACCTATAGCATTTTTTTTTGGAGCCTGATGTGGCTTGAACTCACAACCCTGAGATCAAGACCTGAGCTGAGATCAAGAGTTGGATGCTCAACTGACTAAAACACCTAGGCTCCTCTATACCAATTTAAAATTAAGCTTTTAATTTTAATTCCAGTTAGTTAACATACAGCATTGAATTATTTTGAAGTGTACAGTATAGTGACTCAACAATTCTGTACAACTCTATACCATTTTTGAAGTATCCAAAATAACTACAACTGAATCATCATTCCATGCAAGCCAGTTCTGAACATCTGTTGGGTACCAGTTATAGGATATCCCATCCAGGTGGAAGTCACCTGACTTTCCCTGCAGCAGAAAGCTGACTTGCATTTTCTGGCCACACCAAGATGGATGTGGGCATTGTCTTCTCTTCTCTGTCTACAGGGTCCTCCTGGAGGAAGGAAGGGCCACAGTCCCCTGCCTGGCAGACAAGCTGACCTCTGAACTCATCACGCACATCTGTGTAAGCACCTGCAGAGCTGTCCGTTTTCTTCTTTGTTGTTGTTATGTTAATCACCATACATTACATCATTAGTTTTGATGAAGTGTTCCATGATTCATTGTTTTGTGTATAACACCCAGTGCTCCACGCAGAACGTGCCCCTCTCAACACCCATCACCAGGCTAACCCATCCCCCCACCCCCCTCCCCTCTAGAACCCTCAGTTTGTTTTTCAGAGTCCATCGTCTCTCATGGTTCGTCTCCCCCTCCGATTTCCTCCCCTTCATTCTTCCCCTCTTGCTATCTTCTTCTTCTTCTTCTTCTTTTTCTTAACATGTTGCATTATTTGTTTCAGAAGTAGAGATCCGTGATTCATCAGTCTTGTACAATTCACAGTGCTCACCATAGCACATACCCACCCCGATGTCTATCACCCAGCCACCCAATCCCTCCCACCCCCCACCACTCCAGCAACCCTCAGTTTGTTTCCTGAGATTAAGAATTCCTCATATCAGTGAGGTCATAGGATACACGTCTTTCTCTGACTGACTTATTTCACTCAGCATAACCCCCTCCAGTTCTATCCACATCGTTGCAAATGGCAAGATCTCATTCCTTTTGATGGCTGCATAATATTCCATTGTGTATATATACCACATCTTCTTTATCCATTCATCTGTCGATGGACATCTTGGCTCTTTCCACAGTTTGGCTATTGTGGACGTTGCTGCTATAAACATCAGGGTGCACGTACCCCTTCGGATCCCTACATTTGTATCTTTGGGGTAAAGACCCAGGAGTGCAATTGCTGGGTCGTATGGTGAGCTGTCCGTTTTCTGAACAGAATCCCACAAACCCAAAGCTCCACCATGTGGGCGGACTGACCCACTAACGGATCTCCTGGGGATCGTGTGAAGGTGCAGGCTTGGTTCGGTGGGTCTCGAGTGCAGCTTGGGATTCTCCATTTCCAGCAAGCTCCCTGATGGTGTGGATGCTGCACGTCCCACACGTTGGGCGGGAGCTGATAGACTAGATCCGCTTGGCCTAATTAAAAATTAAAATCTTATTGGCAATGCACCAACTTTTCCTTTCTCCTTACTAGCCACTGTCATAATGTCTTGGTAATTGTAATGATCATATATTTCATATTTTAGATCTCTCTGTGGTTCTTTTTCAAATTTGTCTAGACACAATCGCTTGCAGTTTCCCGACTGCGATCCCTTAAAAAGATTTCTTTGCACACATCTCTGTTGTATTTTGTGCTTGATAATCCCAGTGTCAGAAGCCTTGGTGCACTGGGTTTCACTGCCCAGCCCCCACAATGACCTGGGTTAGGGTTTTGACTTTGGGCCTGTCTGTTTTGGAACTTGATCTGCAGGCGTTCATGGAAGCCCAGGTTCAAAATCCGTTTCTCCAGGGAGAGGCAGATTTGCTTCTGCCAGCCCCTTGGAAGGGCCTCCTGCCTAAACCACTTTAGATTCTCAGCTTGAGGTTTTGGGGGACCCCTCCAGGAATGCAATTTGGGGCGGCAAACCTGTTTGAGGGCTGGCTTGTGGTTACAGAGATTTTATGTTCTTCCACTCAGCTCCGGGTTCAGCGTCCCGCACAGTCCCCAAGAATGGAGAGGGAGGGCAGGGTTGTTCCTAGCTGACCCATATGGGGAGAGCATGGCTCTCTGGTGTCCCAGCTTTATGTAGAAAGAAGATCCTGGCTCATTAGATTCCCTGCCTCGAGGAAGCCCACCCGGATTTATTCTTTGCCCCAGCCAAGTCAGGCTCTGAAACGTGTGCTCCACGTTTCTTTGCTACAAATGCCCCGTGAGGCCAAATCTGGCTCTACTCCTGCTCTCCTTGCCCGTCCCAGGGCGCTCACATCACCTGGCCGTGCCTCGGAGTGTCTGCCCTGTCCCTGCCCACTCACCAATGCATTTCCAGCGACGCTTTCCACCTGTCAGCCAGCATTTATCGGTGTTTGTGGTGGAAGAGGGAGCTGGTGCCTGCCGTCTACCATGTCATCAGAGACAGAAGTCCCCGATGGTGTTCGTCTGTGAACAGCATAAAAGTGGCTGAATCTCGGATGGTTCCAACTGCCACTTTTTCAGAGCCCACCAGATGAGTGGCTCTTTCTAACCTGCCTGCAGGGTGGCTGTGACATGACCACAGAAGGAAACGTTCCTAGCGTTGCTCTGATGGGGGAGGCGCCACACGGAGTGGACGCCTCAGCGTGTCCGTGAGGCTGTGCCCCGGGGAGCGGGGCCGTGGGGAGGGCCGGGTGGCTTTGGCGCCCGCTAACACGCCCCCATCCTTCTTCTCTTGAGCAGAAGGAGGCCTGGGAGCTCCTGCTCCTTCCCTGTCCATATTCACGTTCTGCGCATTATTTTCTGTTTTCCTCAGAAAACTCTGCCCCTGTTAGAAAATCAGATAAAGGAAAATCATGAGAAAATAACAGAGGAGTTACAAAAGTATGGTTCCGATGTGCCTGAAGAGGACCATGAAAAGATGTTTTTTCTGATAGAAGTGAGTACAGCCCATCACCTCCAGTCGGGACATCGTTGTCCGGAAAGGGATCTGGTGCCTCGCGCACTTGCTTCTTCCTCCCCGCAAGCTGACCCAGGCTCGGTCGGCCCGCTCAGCACCAACAGGGGCTGGGGTGGAGGGACAGTGGGCAGGGACTGACAGGTGCCATGTGTGCTCCCTGAGAGCCTGAGGCAGTCAGGGCAGAGCGTGGGGGTCTGTCACCCCGTAAGGTGGCCAGGAGTGACTCACCCGCCCTCAGCCTCCATGCGGCCTCCAAACGCCCTTGTGTTTGGAATATCCCCACTTATACTTCTGTTCTCCTTCTTGACAGAAAATTAATGCCTTTAACCATGACATCACCTCCTTAATTAAAGGGGAAGAATTTGTGGGGGAGGACGAGTGTCGGCTCTTTACCAAAATCCGAAACGAGTTCCACAAATGGAGCTTTGTGATTGAGAAGAAGTTCCAACAAGGTGAGTCCGAGGCGCTGCCGTCAGCCTGGCGAGCGTGCTGGAGTGGGGGGCCGTGGGAGGGCAGGTGGTGCGGCTGGCACGGATGCTGGCGCAGGGGGCGTGGGGTGTGGAAACCACGTGTGCTCCGGCCCACATCACTGAACTTGGGCCGGCAGGCATCAGCTGCAGATTTCAGAACATGCCAGGGGATCGGCCCGGGTCCACCCAGGCTTCCACCAGAATCAGCCCTCCATCCACAGTAGCGGGTCAACCTGCCAGGTGCTGTCTGTGGCCCCGGGATGAAGTCGCTTGGGTCTTGGTCAGCTGGCCACAGCCTTGAAGCCTCTATCTCAGTGGATTTTATCGTTGCAGCAGCAATGCAAAGGAAATGAAACACACCTAGGCACCACCTTGCAGCACCAAATTCTCAAGAGTCCGAGAGAGGTAGAAAGTGTGACCTGAAGTTTACTTTTTTTTTTTTCATGTGTGTGAGCCCAGTCCAGGTGCAAGTCCCATAGCTCAGGGAAGCGCACCGCGTGCGGGGACCCGCTCCGTTTCTCTCCCTGCGGCCAGAGCCTCACCCTTGGCCCCCAAGGCACCCGCGGCTGACAGAGCCCAACTCTTCGCGACGGCAATGGGTGCCTCCGGAGAAGCCCTGGGCCGACAGCGGCCTCCATGAAGTTTACTTTTTAATATTTCAAGAAGCTTAAAGTAAATCCTATACTGACCAGTGATAAGGCTGCAGGGAAATTTTAAGGAACTTCGCTTTTATTCAGGCAGCCTGGTGGGTGCCATAACTTATTTCAGCTGACTGAACGTTCACATTGACCATTGTCCTCGGCTTTGAGTAATGAACGTAGGAGGATAAGTCATGCCATTTTTTATGTAATTCAAAGGCCACACGTCTCAGTCCTGTTTGTTCCTTGGCCGAGGCATGGAGGGCAGGACAAGATAAATAACGGTGTTCTTTGTTGGAAAAATGGGGTGGTCCCTTGCCCCATCTGCACAGCTCCCATGCTGCTTACTGGAGCTAAATCCACAGCGCAAAGGGTTGAACAACTGCTGTGTGGTGTGATCTTCCATCAGGGAAGGGCCGCTGTCCCTTTCAAGGAAGACAACAGTCTTGACCTCCAGCAACCCCCTCCTGTATTGCTCAGCAAGCTTATGCACACAGCCCATGAGAAAATAGCTCATTTTTTTAAGATCCTAATTCCTCCCAACACTGGGCACCCGCATGCAAGAAAATGAATTTAGGCCCCCTAATCACTCCTTATACAAAGAGAAACTCAAAATGGATCAGAAACCAGAATGTGAGCCCTAGAACTATAAAACTCTTAGAAGAAAATGTAGATTTGAATCTTCATGACCTTGGCTTAGGCAGCGGTTTTTAGATAGGACACCTACAGCACACACAAAATAGACAAAGTGGACTTCATCAAGATTAAAAACTTGTGTGTGTCAAAGGACACCCCCCCCACACACATACAGAACTGGAGAAATTATTTGCAAATCACACATCTGATAAGGGCCCAGTCTCCAGAACATACAAAGAACTCTTAGGATTCAACAGCAAAAAGACAAATCCAAATTAAAGATGGACAAAGGAGTAGACATTTCTCTAAAAGAGGAAATACAAATGGCCCACAATGCAGGAATAGATGCTCAGCGTCATTAGCCATCAGAGGAACTCAAACCGAAGCCACGGGAGACCCCGCTTCACACCCACTAAGATGGCTAGCATGTGTCCGTGTACTCATTACTGGTCTGCTAGGGTTCTCATCACAAAGACCGGGGCTCTTAAACAACAGAAACCGATTTTCTTACAATTCTGGAGACTGGAAGTCTAAGACCGATTACCAGCAGGTCTGGATTCTCCAGACGCCTTGCCTCTCTCCTTGGCTTGTAGACACCACCTTCTCCCTGTGCCTGTCCCGTGTGGGTCTCTGTCCTACTTCCTTCCTATAAAGATACCAGTCAGATTGGATCTGATCACCTCTTTAAAGGTCGTATCTCCAACGCAATCCCATTTCCGAGGCGCTAGGGATTAAGACTTCAAACATATCAATTTATGGGGACATACAATTCAGCCTTTGACAGCAGACAATGGAATATTATTCAGCCATGGAAAGGCATGAAACACTAAACATGCTACAACATGGGTGAACCTTGAAGACATCATGCTAAGTGAAGGAAGTGAGACACAAAAAGCCACAGGTCTTTGGATTCCGTTGACATGAAATGTCAAGAGCAGGCAAATCCATAGAGATAGAAAGTAGATTAGTGGTTTCCAGGGGCCGAGGGGGGTGGGGAATGGGGAGCGTGTGCTGACGGACACAAGGTTCCTTGGGGTGATAGAAGTACTTGAGAATTAGCTGGTGGGGATGGTTGCACAATGTTGTTACTATACTAAAAATCACTGAGCTGTATGCTTTACTAGGGTGAATTTTATAGTATGTGAATTATATCTCGATTAAAAAAAATACCTATGGGAAAATTTCTCCCGACCAAAAGAGGAGACCCAGACCACGATTCCTGGTTAGTTCTTCAAAAAGACTTCCACCAGCAGAGGTATCCTCTATAGTCCAGTTTGTTGAGAATAAAAAGAATTCCCAAAGTATAAAGAAGAAACAAAGTGTTTTATGTAGCGAGCAGTAATCTTATGTACCTAGTTACTCTGTTATCTCGTCTGATTTATAAACACTTTCTACACCTGCTATTGTATGTGGATATGTGGATACGTGACGTGTCGCTGATTCTGAATGGTGGTACAATTTCTTTGGTAAACATCTATAGAATTTCTTACCCAAGAGGAAGTTCCTTCCCCTGATTTCATCCTCCTGGCTTGTGCAGTTTGCTGCCCTCTGGCCTCACACCTGACTCTATACTTAACCATCTTGAGATGACCTAAGGAAAATAGTCTTGAGATCTGTTTGTTTTTTTTTTATTGCAATCCCTGAATTTTTTTTTCAATTTGCAAATCAGATTTGTTTTTTTTTTTCCTTGCCTCTCTGTGTTTTCAGAAAGTCCAGAATGGTATTGTGTTTAAAAAAAACCCACAAAGTTATTTTTGTAAAATAACTCAGAACTCTTCTTTTCCAGGTTACAAAGCTATATATAAACAAATCGAGAAATTTGAAAATCGGTATCGTGGCCGAGAGCTGCCAGGGTTTGTCAATTACAAGACGTTTGAGATTATCATAAAACAGCAAATCAAAGAACTAGAAGAACCAGCTGTCTATATGCTGCACACGATAACTGGTGAGTTCTTGATTTTGCTTTTAGGCATTTTATTTCTAGGGCAATGAAAGGCTTGAGCCCAAACCAGTGTTGAACTCCACAGCTCTCCTTCTGGGGTGTTTTTAAACTCCAAGCTCTCCTCCTGGGTGTTCTTTAACCTCCAAGAACCCAATTAATTCTCTGGTTCTCTGGACACCAACTAGGTGTTCAACATTTCAATTCAGTTCCAACAATAACTGAGTTAGCACCCATCCTCCAGCTTAAGGGCTTGGCCCTACAGGACTGCCCCCCTCTTTAGACCATGCTTCTGATGGACAGGCTAGAAATTGGAGTTCCCACAGCCCCCTCCTCAGATGCTATAATTTGCTGGAAGAGCTCACAGGACTCAGGAACACACTTTACTTATCTCTGCTGGCTTATTTTAAAGGATGTACTTACCTTTGCCAGTTTATTATAAAGGATGTGAATGAAGGAGATACATAGAGGAGGTCTGGGAGGGTCCCGAGGGCAGGTGCTTTTGTCCCGTGGCAGGGGGGGAGGGCACCACCCTCTTGGCATGTGGGTTTGTTCACCAACCTGGAAGCTCTCTGAACCCTGTCATTTAGGGGATTTAAAGGAGGTGTAATCAGTAATCACAAAGACATAATCAATGATCAGCTCCATCTCCAGCCCCTCTCTCCTCCCCAGAGGTGGCGAGGTGACACAAGGAGAGCCATAGCCCTCCACAGGCCTGACCGCTCCTTTCTCGTGTAACTGCCATGCTCTCTGGTTTCCCAGGCGTTCACTGGAATCACCTTTCTTTGTCCCCACCGTGGCTGACGCCATATTGTCACTCACACCTCAGCTGTCTCATTTCAGCAAGAAGTAATAATCACTCTGGATCCGTGAACCCGTAGAGGTTGGGGACAGTCCCATGACAGCACCTTAAGAGATGTATTTCTAATATAATTTTACCTTAAGTCTTAATAATTGTATATTAAAATTGGTAATTGTGTTGTGTTGATCCATTTTGCACTCTTAATTTACTCTCAAAGAAAATTGGTAGTGCTTAGAGCCTTATAGTCACAGAAAAAAATATTTTTTAAAACCCATATATATATGTGTTTCAAACTTTTTTTAAAAACCGCTTAAACTTTTTTTAACTTTTTTAAACTTTTAAAAACTTTTAGTTTTTAAAACTAAAAAAAACTTTAAAACCCACATATATATATGTATATGGGTATATATATATATGGGTGTGTGTGTATATATATATGTATATGGGTATATTATATATATATACCTACTTCTGTTTCAGAAAGATATGATGTGGAGTCAATAAAAGATTTTCAGGATGCCTGGGTGGCTCAGTCGGTTGAGCGTCCAATTCTTGATCATGGCTCATGTCTCGATCTCAAAGTCATGAGTTCAAATCCAGTGTTGGGCTCCATGCTGGGCATGAAGCCTACTTTAAAAAGTTTTTCAAACATAAAGATGTTGCCCATCATATTAGGATAAAATTTCTGTGAGGAAGTCAAATGGAAATATGAGGAGTTTCAAAAATAGAAATAATGTAAATTTTCTGATTGAATAATAGCATGTTCGTATTTTTTTTTAAATGGACAACATGGACATTTAGAGCCCATTGATATATTTGAGAGTGCTGTGTCTTACTTAAAATATTAATATATTTATAACCTACCAGAGATTACATTCTTTGCAACTGTATCTGCTTAGGATGAAAAAAATGTTTTTTTAAGATTTTATTTATTTGAGAGTGAGCATGCAGCAGGGAGGGGCAGAGGGAGAGGGAGAGAGAATCCCAAGCAGACTCCCTGCTGAGCACAGAGCCTGACTCAGGGCTCGATCTCACGACCCTGAGATCATGGCCTGAGCCAAAACCAAGAGTCGGATGCTCAACCGACTGCGCCACGCAGGCGCCCCAGGATGAAAATTTTAAATGTCAAAGAAATATGCCAGGGGACAACTGGACTCTGAAATTCTTCCAGAGGGCTCTCCAGCAAAAAAGGCACGCCTCCGTACCTGAGTGGGAAGAAGGGACAGAAGGGAGGGGAGGAAACTTCATTTCTGGACATTTTTTCATCCTCTTTTTTTGTTGTTGTTTTTTGCAACCTACGATTATGAATGAGTCTTGTTTTTTCCTCAGATATGGTCCAAGCTGCCTTCACAGATATTTCGGAAGCAAATTTTGCTGAATTTTTCAACCTCTACAGAACTACCAAGGTAAAACTGACCACATGTTTAAAAAAAAAAAAAGTCAGCCTGATGCTGGAAAACAAATTTCTTGGATTAAGACCGTTTCAACTTTACGGGGTATTTGGAGAAGCAAATAGTCAAGCTCATTAGTGAACTTTACTAGTGGTATCACCAGCGATGTCTGGTTAGAAGCAGTAAGGCAGACCGAGTGAGTGAGATGGAATATAGAAAGAAAATCCTCAAAATCACAAGAACGAAGGAGACCCATAGTTTGTGTGGAACATTGTCGCCTCTGAAGAAAATGGCCCTAACCTTGAAAGTCACTGAGGAGGCCGCACGGGCAAATGGCGTCTCCCAAGAGCGAAGAGTCAGGAGGAAGTAAGACCCCCCACTTCACGCTGTTGAGAGACTCTTCCACTCTCAGAAACAGGGGCTCCCCCACGGCTCAGCTCAGGCTCCCGTGGCCCAGAGCGCAGCCTGGCCAGCTTACGTGATAGTCACTGAATGCTCATGTTCCGGACGCTGGAGGGCCCAGATCGAGGTGCTCAGATCCCGTGTCTGATGAGGGCCCAACTCCTGGCTTGTGGCTGCTTTCTCCTTGTATCCTCACGACACAGAGAGAGACAGAGAGGGAGAGAGGGAGAGAGTAGGGGAGAAAGAAAGCACTCAGGTGTCTCTTCTTACAAGGGCATGGACCCCATCTGTAAGGGCTTCATTGTCATGGCCTGACCCCCTAAAGGCCCCCCCCGATGCCATCACACTGGGGATTAGGCTTTCAACATATAAATCTGGGGGGACACATGCATTGCACCCCTAGCACCCAGCACTGCTGGGAAGACTGGCTTGGCCTTGTGCAGGCTTGGGGGCTTCGGGTAGGCTACTTATGCTGCCTGGTCCTCTGGAATGAACCCAGAAGAAAATGTTTGGGGTGCACCTAGCACTATGTGTCACACTCAGTGGCCCCGAGTGTGAGCTCTGGGGAGTCCAGATATTTTCTGTGTGAGAGATCTATACCCCGGCCTGGTGGCAGCCAGATTCTCCAAACGTGAAGCGTACAGAATTGCACAGATTTAAATTTTGCCCCCCCCCTTTTACCCTCTGAGCTCTCTGATGGGGCATATAGTCCTGCTTCGATGGGAAAGCCCCCCAAAGAGAAAGAAAGAAGCTGAGACATTGGCCTGTGCGGGTTCCCAGGTTCAGGTGGGGGGTCAGGCTCCCGGAGGTCCCGAGCCCCAGTCGGGGTGGGAGCCCCATCCTAGACAAGCCAGTGCGGGGTGCAGAAGGCTGCCCCACAGCAAGGTGCTGTCTTGGCTCACCTGGGAGCCAGCTAGCCGTGGGCTCCACAGAGGACCTCCTTCCTTGAGCCGGTGATTTGTTTCTGAGGGCTCTTCATTTTCCTTCTCTTTTGCCGTAGTCCAAAAGTGAAGACATTAAATTTGAACTAGAAAAAGAAGCTGAGAAGTCCATCCGCCTTCACTTCCAAATGGAGCAGATTGTGTACTGCCAGGACCAGGTCTATCAGTGTGCATTGCAGAGGGTCCGAGAGGAGTCGGACAAAGAAAAGAACAAAAAAGTAAACAGTATGTGCTCCGAAGAAGTTTCTTCAGTAAACATCTCCTTGTCTGAAATCTTTGAGCATTTGCTGGCTTACCGTCAGGTGAGTCTGCTGGCGTCTCTGGGAGGCAGTTTTCATTACGTGTCCTTGTCTTGTGATTGCGTCTCTTTGGCCTCCCAGTCTCTGTGCGGTGACCACCACCAGCTGGCTCGTCTTCCAGGCCTCTCCGTGAGCGTCCGTGGAGGCATCGAGCCTCAGAGAGGCGAGCAGGGGCTGTGGCTCGGAGCCACTCCCTTCTGGTGTCGACAGGCTGTGCAGCCCTGGCCAAGTTACTTGACCTCTCTGAGCCTCAGCTTTCTTCTCTGTAAAGCTGTATCTCCTCACAGTTCTTGTGAATCTTCAGTGAGATGCGTGTGGGTAGGGCACCTTAGCTCAGTGTCAGGATGCAATGGCCGTGTGCCCAGTAGAAGCCACTCACAGAGACACATGCTTTGATGGCTACTGTCCGTTTCAAATAATGTGAAAAGCAGTCTCATTCACCCTGGGGAAGGATGCGCACCTCAGAGCCATTGAGATAGGTCAGAATCTGGACATGTAAAGCAAGTAGTCATCTTGGTTTACCAGATATCTCCATCAGCTCACTATTTGGATGCTTTAAGGCTTCTCAAACTCAACTGTGCACACAGGTCTCCTGGGATCTGGTTGTAATGCAGATGTGGATTGCGGGTCTGAGGTGGAGCCAGGATTCTGCATTTCTTTTTTTTTTTTTTTTTAAGATTTTATTTGTTTGTTTGACAGAGAAAGACACAGAGAGAGAGGGAACACAAGCAGGGGGAGTGGGAGAGGGAGAAGCAGGCTTCCCCGCGGAGCAGGGAGCCTGATGCAGGGCTCGATTCCAGGACCCTGGGATCATGACCTGAGCCGAAGGCAGATGCTTAACGACTGAGCCACCCAGGTGCCCTGGATTCTGCATTTCTAATGGGCTCCCAGGGGATGCCTGCACTACTGGACAGAGACCGCGCTTGGAGGACCAGCCTCTAAACCAAGGGTCAGACTCCACTGACTGCAGACACTGGGATGTGTGCCCACATGAGTGAGGCTTGTGAAAGGCAAGTCAGGAGGCACCTGTGCACCTTGGCTTCTCCCGCAGTCAAGCCTACCACCTGTCTGGTCATGTGCCTCACAGAGGCGTTTAGAGGAGGTAATGCACTCACACACAGAATCCCGAGAGGATGGCGAGAGGGGTCCCCCACCCACCCTGTCCTGAGCCAGCCCTTCTCCCCAAAAGAGGTCCTTCTCTGGTTTCTTGACATCCTTGGAGGGAAAGCTTTCTTCTTCAGGAAAATCTCTGTTTGGCACTTAAGGCCTTCAACTGATTAGATGAGGCCCACTCTCATGATTTTAGATAACCTCCCTTACTCAGAATCAACTAAATGGAGATGTTAACCACATTTACAAAATACCTCCACAGCAATACCTAAGTTAGCGTTTGATTGAATAACTGAGCCCTTTAGCTGGGCCACGCTGATCTATGAAAATATCATACCTGGGTGAGGGTACACTCAATTACATTGGTAAATTCTCCCCACAGGTGGCCTGTTCCCTCCACATTTGCAGTTTGGTCCCCACTGAAGTTGTTGGCTTTTTGATATTATGACATCTTGTTGTATATTCTCTTATTACAATGAGGTGGGACATGGTTTCACAGCATAAGAGTTATTTCTGTTTCCTGTTCAGGAAACCATCCCTCCAGCAGAAACTTTGTAGAGCAGGGTCTCAGATCCTGGAGATTTGTGGTGCAAATACCCCAGAGTTTGTCCTCTGCCCCTGTGGCTTTCTTTATGGTGGTTTTAGACCATGCTGGAGGTTTTAGATTTATGGATTGGACTTAATAGTTGTTTCCTTGTGGGGCTTCCGTGCTTTTTGTCTTATAATGTCTCCACTTAAGCCATTGGACTTTGTCTCTGAGATTTAGAAACAAAGTCTACAATATTTTCTCCAGTAACGTATCATTTCAACTTTTATATTTAAACCTGTGATCCATTTGGAATTACTTGATATCCAGAATGAGGCTTGCTCTAGACGGCTGATGGTTGTCCTAGAACCATCACCGAAGACCCCATCCCGGGCCTACAGATGCGCAATATGCCCATAATCAATCACCCTCTTCCTCTGTGTCCTGGGGTCTTTTTCTAGATCCTGAATTCTCTTCTGTTGGTTTGCTTTTCACATGTCAGCATCGACATGATTACATTAGCAGCTTTTTATACAAGGCTTAAATCTCCAGTGCAGCTGGTACCCTCCCAAATGCTGCCTACTTCTTTCTTCTTCTTTTCTATAGTGTGGCAAAATATACATCACATACCATTTACCATCTTAACCATCTTTACGTGCCCAGGTCAGCGGCATTAAGCACACTCACACTGTCGTGCCGCTGTCCCCACCGTGCACCTCCAGGACTGTCCCCACCCTATCCCCATGAAACACTGATTTCCCATCCCCTCCCGCCACCCCTGGCCTTCCCATTCTACCCTCCAATTTTATGGATTTTCGTATTCTAGGTAGCTCGGATAAGTAGACTTGTGCAATCTCTATCCTTTTGTATCTGGCTTATTTTACTTAGCATAACGTCCTCAAGGTTTGTCTTTGCTGTAATGCCCTTCCTTTTAGAGTAGAGTGATATATGGTCATATGGACCAACCACATTTGGTTTATCCGCTCATCTGTCCATGTGCATTTCACTTGTTTGCACCTTCGGGCTACTCTGGATGATGCTGCTGTGAACATGGGCAGGCAACGATCTGTGCTCCCACCTCTCTTTAGGCAGAAATTTTCTGCCCCTTCTTGTTTGTTCCAGTTTCAGTATGAATTGTAGAATTAGCTTATCCCATTCCTGATGAGAAGAGAGCTGCTGGGCGTCTTTATTGCGATTATATTCATTTATCAGTCTGCCAGGGAGAGTTGACATCTTTATGACGTGAAACTTTTCTGTCCAAGAACATCAGGGGTCTCTCCACTTGAAGGTCTCCTTTTGGGGGAGCCTCAGAAGTGTTTTAATGTTTTCTTTGCATAGATTTTGTGCACACTCTGAAGTTTATTCCTACATCTCTGCTGTGAGTCTTTTCTTCCATTTTGTCTTTTGTTTGTGGTTAGATATGGTTTCTGCAGCCAATTCTTGTGCATTTTCCCAATGAACACTCACCACGCTGCAAATAGCAATGGCTTTATATCCCCTTTATACCCGAAGCTTCCTCTTCTGGTCCTTTCAGTACAACTGGAAACAACAGGGGAGCCAACAGGCAGCCTCGTCTTGTCTGTTGGTTTGCTTTTCAACTTTTCTCTGTTAAATATGATCCTCCCCGGCTAAAATCAAGGTTTCAGTGGGACCGTGCTCCTCATTTGAGGTTCTAGGGGAGAATCTGTCTCCTTGCCTCGTGCAGCTTCTGGAGGCTGCCCGTGGTCCTCGGCACGCGGCCCTCCTCCGTCTCCAAAGCCAGGGATGCTGCATCTCAGACCTCCTTCCGGACCACACCCCATCCGAATCCGCTGCCTGCCTCCCTCCTTTGCCCCGGGCCCTCCAGATAATGCCGGATACTCTCCCTAGTTTAATGTCAGCCGAGGAGCTTAACTCCACCTACATCCTCAACTCCCTTTTGCAGCGAGAGGGCATGTGCTGTTCCGTGATCAGGACGCAGCCGTCCCTCTCCCTGTGTGTTCATCGTGAAATCGGGCAAGTGTCCCTAAGTCAGCGATTGGCACAATGGCCCCGTGGGCCCCGGGAGGGTCAGGGCAGAAGGCCAAGGCAGCTGACCGTCACCACTCAGAAATTTCTTCTCCGTTCCCGAAGAGATCGTTTCCCGCAGACATGGCCAGTCTGTGGGATCCCCTGCTGGCTCCTCGTCCGCTTCGCTCCATCTCCATGTGGTGGCTGGCCACGCCCCTCGCTGGCTGTCATCCTGGAGCACAGAGCCGTGTCCCAGCTCTGCCGCACCGCCTGTCCGGCGGCCTTCACCAAACACTTGTCCCACACCTGGCCCCTTTCCAACGTTTCTCTTTCAGCTTGTTTCATCTTTTTCACCAGCTCAGGAAGCCGGGTGCTCATCGTCTCACTATTTTCTGGGGGAGGGAATGGAGGCACGGGAATGGATCGGCTTCCTGAGAGGGCAGCCTGAGGGGGTGACAGGCTTCCCTCTGAGAGGGAAGAGGCTTTTTCACCAACAGGTGGGGCCTGGGGAGGAAGGAGGGAGGGTTGAAACTGACTTTAGACATGCAGAGACGGCAGAGGGTGCCCCTCTGCGGCTTTTGAGAGCTAAATAATTTTAGTGTGGATTAAAAATAAAAGTCGTAAGATCTTTTCAGCAGAGTTGCTAATCCGTCCATTTACCCTTTTCAAGCCCGTTTTACCCTCTCTGATCAGAAGGAACGCGAGTGGTCAGGAGTCCGCGGCGGGGTGCTGGAGTCAGGGCTGGGGGGCTCCCTGTACCCGGTTCCTCGCTGCCTCCAGCCCAGACGACAGTGCTCGGCTGGAGACCCAGGCAGGGGCGTGCACCTGCCCGGCCAGCCCGGCCAGCCCGGCCAGCCGCCCGGGCCCTCCTGACACTTGCAGGCTGAAGTCAGCCCCTCCCCTCTCTGTGACCTCTTCTTCCCTGCCAGGAGGCCACCAACCGCCTCTCCAGCCACATCCCCCTGATCATCCAGTACTTCATCCTGCAAGTGTACGGCGAGAAGCTGCAGAAGGGCATGCTGCAGCTGCTCCACGACAAGGACACCTACAACTGGCTCCTGAAGGAGCGCAGTGACACCAGCGACAAGAGGAAATTCCTGAAGGAGCGGCTCGCGCGGCTGGCCCAGGCTCGGCGCCGCCTGGCGAAGTTCCCCGGCTAAGGCGGGCTCCCTGTCCCCCCCACACCTCCCCTCCATCTGCTGGGAGCGGGACCCGCGCTTTCCCCCCCGCCCCCCCCAACCCCATGTCACAGATCCTCGAGGAGTTAGCAACCAGGCTTTCCAGTCATTATCCGTGCTTGTCCCTGAGTGGGCAGGGAGCTAGTAAGAGGATGTAGGTCCTGACGAAGATCGGGATTTGTCCTGGAGGGCTGCCGCCGCCGCCTTCCCTGCTAGGAAAACTGAGTTTCCGCCCCCAGGATCGTTCCTCCCGAGCCCTCTCCGTCTCCCACCGGGGACCAGTGCATGCGAAGCATCGTAGAAGGCTTTGTTCCTGCTTTGTGCCACTTGCTTTTGTGCAGCTGCTGTTTTGGGAGCGTTCGTACCACGTGCGTGGGCACTCTTAGAAGCTGTATTTCACCGATTTGTAATAAACCCGTTTCTACCAGACATGGCTCTGACGCCTTGTGTTCTGGGGGGAGAAGCCTGAAAATGACAGTGGGTGGGACCCCAGTGGGGCAAATGATGGGGCACTAACGCTGCCCTCTGTGGCCGAGCAAAGAATGTGGTTGTTCACGAGAGGCCGGGGGCAGACGGAGACTAAAAGTAAAGCAATGGAATACAAATGGCGCAGGAGGAGCGGGTGAAGGGGGTCAAAGGCCCAGGCTTCCAGTTAGAAGATAAACATGTTGACAATACTATGTTGCGCATTTGAGGGTCGCTAAGAGAGTAACCCTCAAAAGTTCTTATCACAACAAAAAGAATTAAGTATATGAGGTGGTGGGTGTTAATTGATTATTTCACAAAAAGACAAAAAGAAACCAGCAAATGCATCAGCGGTTGATCATGTGCCCAGCTTTCCTGTCGCCTGGTGGCCGGCTCGGCCCTGAAACTATTCAAGCCCGTCTGGGGGGGGAGGGGCGGGCGGGGCGCCCGGCGGGGTTTTGCAGGCAGATGTCTGACCTTGAGTTGCCCTGGGGGAGCCCTGCAGAGTCCCGACTGTTCCCCTTGGTCTGGCCAGGGCTGGGGACACACGCAGACACCCAGCCGCGGGGAACCCCAACAGCGGGCTGTGGCCAGGTGGGGCACAAAGGGATCTGCCAGCAGGTCCTGTAAAGAGGGTCGAGTTGCCTGCGGGAGAGCTGTCCAAAGGAGCGCTGGGAGCAGATGCTCTCCGGGGAGACATCCTACACAACCAGTGTGGGCGGTGGGAGCACTTTCTACCAGGTGTCCAGAAAGGGGGGGAGCTGCCCCAGGAGCCGTGCCTTCCCAGGCAGTAGGGGCTTCAGGCCGAGCCAGGCGACTGCCTCTCCCAGGTAGCCGACTAGTGACATGTCCCCTCCATCCAGCCCCATCCCCCAGGTCCCTTATGATCCTTGGGATGCTACGATCCCCAGTGCTTTGGCACAATCAGAATTTGCTTACAAGAGAGGATGCCGGGAAAAAGGTGGGCATTCAACAAGTCCCAATCAGCTCCCAGCGTGGGGCAGCACCTTAGGCCTCTCATGCCAATTACACACCTACTGACCACTGGCAGGGGCGGGTTTCCCTCGGGCTAAAAGGAAACCCTGTTATCAAGGCACAGAGACTTTTGCAAGAGTGAAGGCAGGCGGGTGGTGCAGGCGCTCCTACAGCAGGCCGAGTACGGGCACGTGCCCCTTGAGCACACAGATCCAGGCCAGCGTCTCTGCTCCCCCTGCCGGGCCGGCCTGATTAACATCTCCGGGAGCAGCCGGGAGATGTCAGTGTTGCTCAGGGGTCTTCTTCGCTGTGGTTACAATTTTCCTGGAGACTGAAAGAGAAGCAGGAGGAAGAAAGCTGAGAGTATGTGCTCCAGAGAATGGAATTTCCCCAGGGAGCACGCCTGCTCATGAGGTGCTTGCAATCACTTTCATTTTGGCCCCAAACAGCAGGTGTCTAGGGATCCCCCAGGCTTGTTCTGACCAGCCATCAACAAGGGAGAAGTGGACTGTCCCTTCTCCCATGTGTTCGGGACTCGAGGAGAGATAGCTCTGGAGTCCACTTGGTGTGACTTCTTCGCTCAGAAGACAGCCAAGCTCAGACAAGGGGTTGAAGCACCCTCCCCGTTCTCCCATCCGCCACCCCCACCCCCCATGGGAGGGACGCCGCCAGGATCAGAGCCTGCTTCTCCAGATTCTGCTGCCCACTTTCGAACACTAGTAGGAAGGTCCATCTGTCTGTGAAGAATATGCTAGAATATCTACGATGTCCACTCATGAACCCTCACTTTAGCTAAGTCTGGTCTGGGGCTCCGATGACCCCACAGGAAGGGGCTGAGTTTGGGGCAGAGCAAGGAGAGGGGCTGGATGGAATTGAACTGACTGAAATAGGAAGTCTTGATTTTTCCAAGACATAGGGGCTAACATGCTGTAAGCACTTAATGCTGTAAGCGGGAGTGGGGTCTGGGACACACTGGGCATTTGTTCAGAGGACTTTCTGGATTCGTGATGGTCTTCTGAGAAGTTTCAGAGCCCTTGCTTTTATTACTGTCCTTTCCGAGGAAAAGCGAAGACAAAAGCAACCAGCCAGCCATTAAAGTCCCCCAGATGTGTTTTTGTTTCAGAGGAAGGGAATTCTGGTGGGAAATCCGCCACCACAGAGCAGTGAAGACAGCTAAAGGCACAGGGACCTTGGCTTTCCATTTGTCAGACCGACCCTTTTCCTCCCAGGGAAGAAAGCTCTGAGTGGTTCTGTGGGATTTCAGTTGGTTACAAGCTCAGTCTCTGTCATCACAGCAAACTTTTAGCAAACACCATTTTTGGGGTTGGTTCCTTAAAAATGGGGCAGCTCGGTCATTAGTGAATTTTTAGATGTCACTTTACTCTGGTACTTTTCTTAAAATGCTGGGTTTACTGGGAGAAGGCGTTCTGGTATGTGGCACATCATACATCACCCTCGATGAGGCCAGTGCGGCAGAGGGCCTGGGCCATGGGGTTTGGCTCCAACCAGCGGCGTGTGCAGCTCCTTACAAAGCCAGGCTCAGGGTAAGGTCTTGGATGGAAGGGAAGAGACTCTGGAATCAGAGCAGGATCAGGTAAGCCATAGGAAAACAGAGAGGAAGGGCTGAGAACTGGCCCGGAGCCTGGGTTCAAGACAGGACTGTCCCCCATTAACAACTCAGCTGGAGAGACATCGAGGAGGGCACAGGTTTCAATGCTGGGAACCGACCCGCAGAGCCAGCATCAAGAGGCAACATAATGATCAGCACAAATTATTCACTTTTATCAACACTGGTGTATTCACTTTTCTCTAATTAATATTTGGGGTTTATTTATATTAAGTAAATTAACTTACATCATTTCTAAAGGCCTTATTTTAAAGATTTTATTTATTTGACAGAGACAGCAAGAGAGGGAACACAGCAGGGGGAGTGGGAGAGGGAGAAGCAGGCTTCCCACGGAGCAGGGAGCCCGATGCCGGACTCGATCCCAGGGTCCTGGGATCATGAGCTGAGCCGAAAGCAGACACCCAACCGACTGAGCCACCCAGGTGCTCCTATAAAGATTTTATTTATTTTTTAATAAAGACAATTCTTTTTTTTTTTTTAAGATTTTATTTGACAGAGACAGACACAGCGAGAGAGGGAACACAAGCAGGGGGAGTGGGAAAGGGAGAAGCAGGCTTCCCGCTGAGCAGGGAGCCTGATGCGGGGCTCGATCCCAGGACCCTGGGATCATGACCTGAGCCGAAGGCAGATGATCAACGACTGAGCCACCCAGGGGGCCCTCCTATAAAGATTTTAATACAAAGTATCAATATCTCCCTAGCTTCAGCATCCTGGCTAGATCTTCTAAGTGCAAACAGCCTCACCCACAAGTAAAACCACTCACAAAGCGACTCCAGCATGTCAAATATAACTGAAAAGATTGTCAGCTGCCATGCCATGTGGACATTCTAGGAATTGTGACCCGTTATTCGCGGATCCTTTATTTGCTAATCCACCTACTTGCTAAAATTTGCGATTTCCAACTCAACACTCGCAGTGCTTTGGTGGACGTGTGCATAGCAGCCCAAACCGTGGGTTGCCTGATGTTCCCAGCTGAGGACTGACAAGGTGAAGCCCTGCCTTGTTTCAGCTCTCGCTGTGAACAAGTGTCCTCTCCTGGTCTCATTAGTGCCACCTTCCCAGCACTTTGGTATTTTTGCCGGTGATCGCTGTTTAAAACGGCCCCGGGCGCCTGGGTGGCTCAGTTGGTTAAGCGACTGCCTTCGGCTCAGGTCATGATCCTGGAGTCCCAGGATCAAGTCCCGCATCGGGCTCCCTGCTCAGCAGGGAGTCTGCTTCTCCCTCTGCCCCTCCCCCCTCTCATGTGCTCTCTCTCTCTCTCAAATAAATAAATAAAAATCTTAAAAAAAAATAAATAAAATGGCCCCAAGTGTAGTGGGGAAGTGCTGTGCTAATAAGCCCTAGGCTGTGACATGCTTCAGAGAGAAAGCACGTGTGGCTAAGCTCCTACGGGACTAATGGTGCCATTGGCGGTGAGCTCAGTGTTAATGCATCAACAGTGTATATTCAGTTAGGTGTCTTTAAACACAAACACCCACAAAACAAGGTCATGAACTGATCGGTTCACAGACTGGAGGCTCACAGGCACCTGACCTTGTCCCTGTTTGTCCCCTAGAAGCAACGATTCATTATTTCAGTGTTCGTGTTGGTTTTATGGTACTTAATTACCATGAATGACTCAGGTGTATCTGAGAGTATTGCCTAACAAAAAGGCGTGTCTTGCCTTTTTATTACAAGTTTTTCCATAATTTTAACACATCTTGATATAACGAAGACGATTCCCTGTCATGTATGGAGGACCCAGGGGTTTGCAGAATGCAAAGGATTCAAATGGATTTCTGTTCTCAGGCAGAGAAAAAACTCATCCAGTCTTACTCTCCTGCTCACAGTACCCGACTCCACGGGGTTAGCATGCATGAGAGCTGAGGGTAGCACTGTCCCCAAGAACTGCCTTACAAGGAGATACAGACTGGGTCTGCATACCACGCAGACCTCCAAAGACTCCATAAACATTTGGAAAAAAAATGCATAATTTATTTTTACAATATTTCACAATTGAATTTTACAGTTTAAAAAAGATACAAAACAAAAGAAGATACAAAGGAAGATAAACAGTGGTCACAGAAAAGAAGCTAAGGAAGGAACACGTTCTCACCACGACAATGCTTTTTAAAATTTGGCTTTGGGAGCAGCTGGGGTGCCGAGGGTTTGGAAGGTCCCCAGGGATGGTGCCGCCGAGGAGGCACATGGATCAGAAGCATCCTGGGAACGGGACCCCATGACCTTCCGCTTTAAGGTTAAGCGGCAGCAGTAGAAATCATTCATTTTCTTCTGGGAAACCAGTGTGCTAGAGCGGAGGCAGAGCCTCGGGAAAGCAGTACTCACAGCATGACCATTGATGCTCCACGCTCGGCGATTCAAC